TATATATATATATATATATATATATATATATATATATATATATATATATATATATATGAGATAATGTTAGAATATTTGAAAATTGAAATAAGAAAGTGGGAAGATAAAAATATGTGGTGGTGTGTGTTATTATCCTCCAAGAAAGTAGCTGAGTACGTAGACCTCGTGAATACCTGCATGACAAGACAAATCTGCGTCTGTCCGGCTAAGAACTGGCGATAAAATCCAACACAAGTTTTAACAGTATTCTACTATATACCCCCGTACGTTAATGTATTATATTTCTTATCCCCGCATTAGAAAGAAAATAAAAATCCTGTAATTCCATAAAACAGGTTATTTATTTGGGTAAAGAATTAGCAGAAATCCCATGAATTAAAGTCAATTCATAATAATAATAATAATAATAATAATAACAACAACAACAACAATAATAATAATAAATAATAATAATAATAATAAATAATTAAATACATAAATTACAAAATCTCAAGTATCTATGCTTAGCAAAATTCTATTGACCGCCTGTCTTTGGTGACTTTTTTTTTTTTCCAGAATTTTTTTTTTCTTTAACATCTTTTTCCCCCTTTTAAATAAGAATATTGATGTGGTTGATAGTAATATTAACTATATTATATATATTACAGTTAAATACAGTAATATTAACTATACTACAGTTTAACACAATAATATTGCTATATTAATCTCTAGCACAGTAATATTAACACAACGAAAGTCATTATTATTGTATAATAGAGTAATATCAATATGTTGACCGTTCAATAAAGGTAAACATAATCCCGCATGGGTGTAGCTCAACTGATTCCGGAGGTGGTAAGTTGGTGCAAGGTCCTAGGATCGAATCCTGGCAGCCGCAGTGTGGGAATTTCAACTCCAATGAGTTGGTTCCTTGTGGGCACCAGGTCCGGGTCCGCTACCTTAACGGGCCGTTGAGTTACCATGATTTACATTCCTCCATCAATCCTTGTCGGGCCAAGGGAAGGGGGCCCTGGGGGCGAGGGATTTCGCCTTTGGTGCAATAAAGGTAAACATAATAAGAAGCCAAAATAATTAATATTGATGTGGTTGACAGTAATATTACTGTAATAATAGAAATATTACAGTCAACCACAATAATATTACAATAGTAGACAGTAATATGATTACGTTACTCCGTCAACAACTCAAACAAAACAAAAAAACCCAAACAAATAATAATAATGATGGTTGACAGTAATATTATTGTGTACAGTTATTTTACTGTCAACGACAGTAATATAATTAAGTTGACTTGTCAACAATTCAAACAAAAAAAAAACTAAAAATAATAATATTATTGTCGCCGACTTTAATTGTAATGTCAACGACAGTACAATTACATAAATGTACTGTCAACGACAGTACAATTACATAAATGTACTGTCAATGACAGTACAATTATATTATGTACTGTCAACGACTGTACAATTACGTTAATGTACTGTATGTGACAGTATAATTACTGTTAATGACAGTACAATTACGGTCAACGTTTAGTGGTGGACGTAAAAAACCATAAAAGAATTAGGGAAAAAAAATCACTAAAAAAGGTCAATACCGGAGACCAAAGGTCAACGCCGGAAATCGGCGGCGGAAAAAGAATAAATAAAAAATCGAACAAGTTAACGCCGAAAACCGGCGGCGGAAAAAACAAACTATGAAAAGAAAAATAAAAAAACTCAACGCCGGAGACCGGCGGCAAAAAAATAGTTTCAGAAAAAAAAAGGTTTTAAAAAAAAGTCAAAATTTGATTTTTATGGTCAAAATTGATTAAATTGGGATTACAGTGAATAATTTGGTGTAAATGGTTGATGGTAATTTTGAGATACATATTATTTTTTTCCTTTATTTATAATACATATTAAAAGGATGAGCTTATTGGCGAAACAAAATATAGCCTCTGTAACTAAAATAATAAAGATGGTTGGTCAGAGACTTGTGCACAAATCCCCCCATAAATTTATACTAAACAAAAAAATAGACTGAAACCCTCGAATACTTAACATAATATTCATACTGTGCCTTTTGATGGTCATTTATAATTTAGGGCGAATAGCAAAAAGGCCTATCACAATCACAAGGGACTTAAATGTACATTGGTCCATAAAAAAAAACAGTCTTTCAAATATACTCATCCTCATGTATTAGTCAAAAATACCCTCCATAATATAATTTTTGTCAATTACATTCATTATGCTCTAACTTCCTTAATATTACACATTGATTCCGGATTCAAATAAATACATCATATTAACCCCCATTTTAATAAATTTTTGAAAAAATATTTCTTTTTCAGAAAATAATTTTATTTTTTCTGAATTTTTTTTTTCCGAACAGACTCCGGCGTTGACTTTTTTTCAATTCTTTTTCTTTTTGAAATTTTGAAATTTCTTAGAAAAAATTATTTTAATTAATATTACTGTCTTTGCTGCTAAATTACTGTCTCATAAAGTAATATTATTGTTTGGGACAATAATATTATGAATATTATTTTTTCGAACAGTAATATTACTAATATTACTGTCCAAACAGTAATATTATTGCATAAGACAATAATATTACGGTCGGAGACAGTAATATTATAGTCGAAGACAATAAAAATACAGGCCAAGACGGTAAAATTAATTAATACAGTAATATTACTGTCTCAGACAGTTAAATTATTGTTGGAGACAGTAATTTAGCAGCCAAGACAATAATATTAATTAAAATATTTTTTTTAAGAAAAAACAAAATTTCAAAAAGAAAAAGTCAATTAACAGTTAAATTACTGTCTCCGACAATAAAATAACTACTGGAGACAGTAATTTAGCAGCCAAGACAGTAATATTTTAATTAAAATATTTTTTTAAGAAAAAAAAAACCGATTAACAATTAAATTACTGTCTCCAACAGTTAAATAACTGCTGGAGACAGTAATTTAGCAGCCAAGACAGTAATATTAATTAAAATAAATTTAAGAAAAAAAATTAATTAACAGTTAAATTACTGTCTTCGACAGTTAAAATAACTGCTGGAGACAGTAATTTAGCAGACAAGACAGTAATATTAATTAAAATATCTTTTTTAAGAAAAAATAAAATTATATATATAAAAAAAAAAGTCAACGCCGGAGACCCGAAGGTCAACGGCGGTTGACCTACGGGAAAACAAATTCAGAAAAAAAAAAGTTTTCAAGAAAAAAAAAATTCAACGCCGGAGACCGGCGATCTCCGGTGGTGGCGGGTCAAAATTAAAATTATGATTAAAATTGGTTAATTGGTGAAATTTAGCTAAAGTGGGGTGTATATCATGAAATTGATGTTGAATTGGGTTTCAATGAATTGGGGGTTGGTAATTTTGGTATATATAAAAGAGTTTTCCCTATTTGCAAATAAGTTTGAATGAACTGGAAGTATTTACAAGACAAAAAAATTGGATGTTCTTTTTTGAATTAAGTGCCCTTGTCATAGGCCTATTTAGTATTTATCATTTGCCCTATAATTATTTATACATGAATTTCACAACTTGATATTAGTGCACTTCCATATTTCGCCGGTTCACTATAGTAATTAGGAATTTTCATATCAATCATTTTTTTATGATGCAAGTATATTTATATATTTAAATGTTAAATATCTATACTCCGTAGATGTTCATATATATTGTATAATAAGTTATAGTTAACCCATGAAACTATCTATCGATCAGTAAGTAATGAACCAACCATCATTAGGAGAGTCGGTACCTAGCCTTACCAATAGGATAAAAAGTCTAGGGTTCGAGTCCCCCCTCTCCTACTTCTCCTTGTAATCACTTGAATGACTAAAAAAAAAAAAGTAAGTAATGATACATGAAAACGATTAAACAACAATTTTGTAAGATAGTCAATGCATTTGGGACCCGAACATAGAATCTTAGCTCTGCTAGTGTACATTCATTTATAAAATTTACTTTAAATTACGGCCATCTCCCTGAGGTTTCGGGTAATTGTAAGCACACTCACAAGTATAAATTATCTTGCATGTTCATCCTTATGGCATCACATTTACAGAATCTTCTAGATTCCAAGGAATATTCTCTAGTTTATCTCGTTTTATGAAGAAAAAAAACCCCTGTTTCAGATGCACCGCAATCTTATATTTACAAGCCAAAAGAAACATCTAATATTATCATCTTGTTTCCAAATGTGGAGCTGAAATGGGGTAAAGTCGGTACAAACTAAACCACATAATCTAGAATATTCCATTAAATTTGACACTGTAAGAGTGAACGTATAAGATGATTCATAGTTGAGGGGTGTAGTTGTAACTGCCCAAAAAATGAGAAGCTTCGTAATTTGATTTTACCTCAGAGACGGGGGGAATTTACCCAGAATTTTATATTTTTATAAATGTTCATACAAAACAATATTGCTATCATCTATCTATTTGCAATTGATTGTCCAATTATATTAATAATTAAAGAAACAAAACAATATCCGTGTTTAATTAAGGGTTAAATACAATTTGCACCCCTAAGGTGTACCTGTATAACACTTGCCCTTAAACTATCATTTGTAACACTTACCCCCTCAAGTACAATTTAATTTGTATTTTAAATTCTAATACCTTAAATTTTTCTTTTTTATTGAAGGAGTAATATGCCATGAGCCCCTCAAACGAAACCTAATTTGAATTAAATAACAAGTTCAAATTCAACTTTTAATTAAATCCTTATTTTAAAATAATATATGAGCCACATCCCTAATTTTTTTATCTCTATCTTACCCTTATACCCTAAATCATATAACCTATCATTCACGTTTCTTCAATTTAGGTTTATTCCTTTCGTTTTCTCTCTCTCTCTCTCTCTCTCTCTCTCTCTCTCTCTCTCTCTCTCTCTCTCTCTCTCTCTCTCTCTCTCTCTCTCTCTCTCTCACGTTTGCTCTTATCTCCCTTTCTCTCTCTTCTCTCTCTTTCTCCTTTCTCTCCAATAGCAACATGAAGGCCGCCGCCGCCGCCGGCGACGGAGGGAGAAAGAGCAGGGGTGGCGGAGGGCATCGTGGTGGAGGCGTCGGCGGCGGCAGCATGAGGCGTGGTGGCGGCGGCGACAGCGGCGGCGGGTGGAGGCGTGGTGGAGGAGGCGACGACATGGGGTTGGGGTTGTGTGGTAGGGGGTTGTGGTTATAGTTGGGGTATTATTGAAAGCATATTATGACTAATTAATCGCATCTAATTTTCTTATCTTTTAAGAGATATTGCTTGATTTGGGTTCATATGACGGATCTAGGTTTTTTCAAAGTCGGTAGGTGGCTACAGTCGCGCCGGCTGCGAGCGGTAACTGCTAGGGTTGGCGGCGGTTGAAAATTGTTAGCGGCTAGGGTTTGGTCGTAAAGCATAGTATACTGTAGTCTACTATAGTACACCGTAGTGTACTATAGTATAGTATAGTACACCCAAGTATACTATAGTATACAGTAGTATACTGTAGTCTACTACAGACAAATTGAAAAATATGTAAATTGAATAAAAGAATAGAATGCTTTTTTTTTTTTTTTTTGTAATTTCCAATATTATGTAGAAAAAAAGGGAAAAAAAGTTTTATAATAATGTATAAAATGATAAAATGAAGAAAGAAAAAAAAGGAAGATAAATGGATATTCTGTAAAAAAAAATGTTATATGAAAATTTGAAATATTAAATGCATAATAAATAAAATGATAAATACAGTTTGGAATTTACTTAATGCTTATTTTGAATTTATGAGTGGAGGGGTATTTTTGGAATGAATTTTATAAAGGATGTGAAACAAAGATTTAGTTGAACTTGTCATTTAGTTCTAATAAGTTTTGTCACTAGGGACCTATATCATATGGTCTCTTTATTGAAAGGAATAAGTAAAATAATAATTAAATAATACAACTGAAAATATATGTTGAAAAATATTTTAAAATTTTAAAATATTATATATGCGATGGGTAAATATTTAATATATGCGATGGGTATATATTTTAAAATTTAAAAATATTATATATGCGATCGGTAAATATTTAATAAATAACATCTAATTTTTGTTGGACCAATTAATTGAATATATTCATATCGATATATTTTATGAAATCAATACTTAATTAATAGTAATCTTACCTACTTAAGTTCATTTCAGTTCATTAATTTCTTATAAAATATTTGCATATTACTTTTAAATTCTTTTTCAATAATTATTAGATTGTTATGTTTATTACGTTTGAAATTTTAAAATATAAAATAATTGTTGTTGGGGATAAGTGTTACAAATGGTACTTTAATAGAATAAGTGTTTCATAGACTATACTGAAGGGATGCATAGTGTATTTAACCCTTTAATTAATAACCTATTTCATATTCTAAAACGGGGGAATTGGCTAACAGCCCCTCAACAATATTTGGTATAGCTAAAACACGGGGCGGATGTTTTGAATTTGCTATAAGTTCATCAGGCAGCTTAGTTGGACAACTTAGACTGAAAATAGCAGTTTAGTTGGACAGCTTAGACGGAAAAATAAACAACTTAAACTGAAAATACAACTTAGTTGGAAAGTTTAGGCTGAAAATAGAAAGTCTAGACCAGACTGAAACTAGATAACTTAGTTGGATAATTTACACTTAAAATGGACATCTTAGATCGAAAATCAATGAAAATAACATGTTTCCAATGATGTGGCCGGCTGGCGAAAATTAGATGGTCGACTGCAAAGACTAGTAGGGATGGGCACAAATTAAATACCATTTTTAGGAGTGAGTGTTGTTCTGAGGACGGATAAGTTAGAGGCGAATAAGATATTTTCGGTCTAAGATGACTATTTTCAGTCTAAGCTCTCCAACTAAACTGCCCGAAAAACCGACAAAATGCGAAAATGTGAATATCCTGATCTGAAATAGTATTAGCGCCCATGGATATATTTAGCGAATTGACCCATCTAACAATATAGTACTTAGGCAAGAATACATACATGATTAACATTATGAATATATACACATATAATTTATATGTATATATATAATGAAAATACAACCAGCTGTTAGCCTGTTACTAAATATCAATCGAATAATATTTAAGTTGACATGTTTTCACTCTTAATTAAAGGGAGTCGTATAAGTTTACGACTAAATGATAATTCACCTCTGAAATTTGAGCATTTCGACACTTTACACCCTAAAAATTATTATTTGAAAAACCAAAATAAAAAATGAATGATGAAACAAAATTGATGAATACATGCACTAGTTTTTGTTTCTCTTTCTCGCCTCTACAATCTCTACAAAACATGGAAAAGAGAGGGAAATATAAAAGGTGGATATTTGAGTGCTCCAATGAGAAACTGGAATAGAATAGAGAGAGCTTTAATTTTTTTCCAAAAAAGAAAACAAGTCAAAATATACTTTCTGGAGCAACGTGTCCTTAAAAAGATACCTCGGTCTCGTGAATGCTTAAACCCTGTCTCCATACTTTTCTCTGTACATTATCCTCATGAGTGTGTCCAATGTGCATGCTCTCTTATGGCCAATGCTATATTCAATTTTTATATCTTTTTGTCACGTTCCATGATTTTGTTTTTTCAATTTGCAACCATAACATTTTTATATATTTGTATATTGTACTGATAAATAAAAACAAATATATATAACTTTATTAAGAGTATGCAGTGACGAATCCAAGAATTTTACCAAGGGATTTAAAAATGGGGTAATAAGCTATGAGCCCCTCATATGAAATTTAATTTGAATTAAATGACAAGTCCAAATCCAATTGTTTAATTAAATTCTTAGTTTGAAATAATATACGATCCACATCCTTAATTGTGTTTAATCTCTATCTTGCCCTTACACCCTAAATCTTATAACCCACATATTCATGTTTCTCTCTCAGATTTACTTTTCTTCTTATTATGTCTTCTTTCTCTTTGTCTCGCTATCTCTAGCTCTTTCTATATCGCTCAATTTAGTTCTCTCGATCTCAAGCTCTCTCTCGCCACAACTCCACTCCATGGTTTGAGGGGAGATAGTGGCTATCACGATGGAATCGACTATGGCGCAGGAGGCAGTAGCATAGGGGGAGGGATGGCGATGACGGCAAGTGCTCTGGGAAGGCGCTGGTGGTGACGCGTCGTTGGGCATGAGAATGGCGCTCGATGGGCGGCGATGCTCGGGGTTGGGGGATGGTGCCAGTGGCGCATCGACGTTGGTGGTGTGGATGGCAACGGCAGTGTGGGTGGGGTTTGTGGCATCTTTAGTGGCGTGGGAGGTGGGACAATTTTTTTTTTTTGGTGTGGTTTTGATTTGGAGTTTTTAAAATGGTGTTGTTTGAGGAGGAGTTAGCAAATTGGGGTTGGCCGCCACCGGCAACGGCGGCACCGGCCGGAGACGCCACTGCCAACGGCGGCACCGGCTGGAGACGCCGCCACCGGTGGCGTCTTCTACCGGTTTTTAAATTTTTAATATTTTAATAATTTAAATTTTAATATTTTAATATTTTAATATTTTAATATTTTAATATTTTTTAATATTTTATTATTTTAATATTTTATTATTTTATTATTTTAATATATAGACGGTCCAGATTGCACTGGAAAAATTCAATCCGACGGCCCAGATCAAGACTACCACCTCGGCGGTTGTGCTTGACCAGGAGACGCCGTTGACAACGACGTCTTTAGGAGACGCCACCGACAATGGCGTCTCCATTCTCTCTCCTCCAGCTGCTCCTCCTTTTCTCTTCTTCCTATTAAATTTCGAAAACAAAAAACCAAATTTAGTTTTCAAATTAAAAATAAAATATATAATATAATTACCTCTGGCTGCCACCGACGCCGTCTGGCCGCCGCCGCTGCCCGCCGCTGCCTCCCTCGCCGTCGCCTTCCCCGCCGGCGTCTCCGCGTAGGACTAGACGGGCACCTGCATGTGGCACTGGTTCACATAGGCACTGACTTCATAGTGCCAATTTTATTTTCTTGTACTCATTTTGTCTTTTTACTCATTTTGGACCTATTTATTTTATATAACTCTTTTATTTTTTAGAAATCCTTTTGTTTTTGTCTACGTGTTTTTAATATTGTACCCTATTTTATTGTGTTGATTAGATAAATATATGCAATGATTAATTTAATACTAATAGATAAAAATGTAATAAATTTAATACTAACATCAAACTAATGAATGTAATTAGAATTGTTTTATTTGTAAAAAAAAAATTAAAAATGAGAAAATATTAAAACATTAGAAAATATTAAAATATTAAAATATTAAAATATTAAAAAATAATAAAAATATTAAAAAATAAGAAAGTATTAAAATAATAAAATATTAAAAAATATTAAAATATTAAAATATTAAAATATTAAAATATTAAATTATTAAAATATTAAAATATTAAAATATTAAATTATTAAAATATTAGAAGACGCCACCGGTGGCGGCGTCTCCAGCCGGTGCCGCCGTTGGCAGTGGCGTCTCCAGCCGGTGCCGCCGTTGGCAGTGGCGTCTCCAGCCGGTGCCGCCGTTGGCAGTGGCGTCTCCAGCCGGTGCCGCCGTTGGCAGTGGCGTCTCCAGCCGGTGCCGCCGTTGCCGGTGGCGGCCAACCCCAATTTGCTAACATCTACTCAAACAACACCATTTTAAAAACCCCAAATCAAAACTACACCAAAAAAAAATTGCCCCTGTGGGAGGTTGACATTGCAGATCTAGGATTTGGTGGAGGAGATCTAAGGTTTGGTGGGGCGGATCTAATATTTTTTAATTTCAGTCTACAGATGTCCGTGGGTATCTATGGTGTCTGGCGGCTAGGGTTCAAAGGAGGAATTAAGATTTTAAGAATATGTGACTACGGATTACTACGGTATCCCACGAGTGTCTCTACGTGACCAAAAACTACTACGGTTTCCCACGGATTTCAATAGATGACTACGGCCGAAAAAAATTAAAAAATCATAATTTTTAAATTATGTAGATAAAAAGGGAAACAAAATGAAAAAAAAAACATGTTCTACGAAAAAAAAAAAAATAAAAAATTAATAATAATAATAATAATAATAATAATAATAATAATAATAATAATAATAATAATAATAATAATAATAATAATAATAATAATAATAATAATAATAATAATAATAATAATAATAATAATAATAATAATAATAATAATAATAATAATAATAATAATAATAATAATAATAATAATAATAATAATAATAATAATAATAATAATAATAATAATAATAATAATAATAATAATAATAATAATAATAATAATAATAATAATAATAATAATAATAATAATAATAATAATAATAATAATAATAATAATAATAAAAAAAGTGCTAGATGCAAAAATAAAAATGTTAGATGCAAGATGAAAAAATGATATATGTAGTTTAAATATTACATGGTACATATTTCATTTTTGTGCGTGGGGGGGCATTTTTTGGAATAAATTTTATAAAAAATGTGAAGCAAATGTTTAATTCGACTTGTCATTTAGTTCTAATAAATTTTGTTACCCAATACTTATATCTTAAGCCACTTTAAAAATTTATTACATTAAACGTTAGATATTGAATTTAAGTACTTGTATTTTACTTTTGTATATTTTCAGTATAAAGTTGTAATAGTTTAAAAGGTGAATTACAATCATCTCTAAGGTATGGTTAAATTACAAAAAAAAACATACTCTATTTAGATAATTACAACTATCCCCTCAACTATAAATCTTCTTACACGTCCACCCTTGTGGTTTCAAATTTAGTGGAATCTTGTAGATTGCATGGAATATTCTCAATTATCTACTCGTTTTATCCCATTCGAGCTCCACATTTTGAAGCAAGATGATCATAAGATGTTGTTTTTGGCTTGTATATATCAGATTGTGGTGCGTCGGATACTGCGTTTTGCACAAAATGAGTACAAACTAGAGAACATTCTGCGGAATCTAGATGATTATGTTAAGTTTGACACCATAAGGGTCTAGATGTAAGAAGATTCCATAGTTGAGGGAGTAGATGTAATTATCCAAACATGAGATTTTTTTTCTTCGAAATTTGACTATACCTCAAGGTGTTAGAGTAGGTGACCGAAGAGCAAACAAATTGTTTTGTTTTCTCACGCTACTCGTAAATAATCTATTTCGTATTAATGAAAAAAAAACCCTTTGGCATTCTGTATCTTTGTCACTTGCATAAGCATAAATGTAGTCCTTACAATTACTTAATTACTATAAATAGATTTAGTGGAATCGTGAAATTATTTATTTAAGTATAGTAATTATTAAACATAGTTCCTAGTCAACGGTTTACGCCACTAATGAGGATATCGGCCTTTCGCATTCGAGACTAGCACTTAGTGTATGTGTACTGCGTCTCATCAGTAAACCGTGTTGTGACATCGGCATACATAACTGAGTGCTCATAAGTTGATGCGTTCACTGAACTCCCTCAATCTAGAGATCTCTAAGCGGTTCACAATAACCTAGTAGAGGTTTGTATGATATGGTTGTACACTATTAATTCTTAAGACCCAGACATCAACGTGACATCACTAGAAGACCAGCTATATCGTGACGTGTCCCTGAGTTCCACCGAGGACTGCCCTAAGACCAGTGTTCTTGCAGTTTCAAATCTAGTGGGAGGTTTGTGCATTTTAGTAGGGGATTCGATCGCTTAATCAATCGGTGAGAATCTCGGATGCATGGAATTCGCTTGTCCAACGAATTATCATCTTCCTTTTCTTCCAATTCCTCAACAACGACTCTTCAAAGGCATGATTCAAGCCTTTATTCTTCAATTCCAACACAAATGGCTCTATTAATCTCACCCGCTTTCTCTTCTTCCAACTCTTCGTCTTGGAGCTTTTCAAGGTCGTATCAGACAAGGTCATACAATTGATCGATGTTGGACGCGGATTGGCATTACTCGTTCTCTAGGTCGCGGATGGGGACGCGGGCATGAGCGTTCATCTTCCTCGGGTCAAGCCCGCTACCAGAACAACACCACACCCGCAGCGTTTGCAGCAGCAAGTCAATGGCCTATAGCAAATTCAGCCGGTTCCACCACGTTAGGTTCTACATCAACAAAGTTTCCCGGCTTTACATGTTATCAGATCCAACAACTTCTTGCGCTCATCACTACCTCCTCTGAAGGTGCTAGTATGTCTGGTAAGCACAATACCATTTGGCTTATTGACAGTGGTGCATCTCATCACACGACGGGAAACTTATCACTACTCTCACATGCTTGTGACATTCCTCCCTCTCCGCTTGGTCTACCCGACGGAGCTAATGCATCGGCTATCAAACAAGGATCTTATTTATTGCAACCTGGTTTAATCTTAACCAATGTGTTATATGTGTCGAGTTTGTCTGCAATTTAGTTTATGTTCGTAAGTTGATATTTGATTCTCGTTTTCTTGTGATTTTTACCGATGACTATTGTATATTACTGGACTGCACATCAGGGAATATTAATTGCAACAAACATGTTGTTGTGCATACCAGACTCGTTCTAGTTTTTCGAGTAGTATTAATTGTGTTGCAAACATGTTTGATTTAATTCACTGTGATATTTGGAGACCTTATCGTTTTTCTACACATTTTGGTGCAAACTATTTTCTCACCATTGTTGATGACTTTAGCCGTGCTTTGTAGGTTTACTTAATGTCTACTAAATGGGCTGCTAGTATTTTATTACAACAATTTTGTGTCATGGCCCATAATCAAATTGACAAAATTGTTAAAATCATTTGCAGTGATAATGGAATGGAGTTTTTATCCAGTTTAATGCAATACTTTTATCAAAAGCATGGCATACTTCATCAAACTAGCATTGTTGATATTCCGCAACAAAATAGACGAGTTGAACGAAAACACGGACATATTTTAGATGTTGCTCGTGCCTTAATGTTTCAAGCGTCGTTACCCATTGAGTTTTGGGGTGATTGTGTGCTAACAACAGCACATCTTATGAACCGATCGAACACCCAGACCTCTCTTGAATGGCCTAACCCCACATGAAAAATTATGTTCTACCCCACCCTCAAACTCTCATATCCGTGCACTTGGTTGCTTATGTTATGCACATTTTAAAGATCGTACTAGGGATAAGTTTGCTCCTCAAGGTCGCCGGTGTTTCTTTCTTGGGTATCATTATGACAAATTAAAAATGGGTGGAAGATTATGGATTTGGAGACTAGTCGTGTATTTATCTCACGTGATGTTATGTTTGATGAAAATATTTTCCCTTATGCTCATAAGTGCTCTGAGATATCTTCTGCTACTACTCATTTGCCTCCTCTAATTTATGATGTTTATGAATCTGAAAGTCTAGTAGCACCACCACAAAAGACAATGGGGGTTCCATAACCCCAACACGAAACCGCATCATCACCAAATTTGGGTTGCGGACATCGGGTTCTAAACACTCCAGCTCATCTTAAGAATTTTATTTGTCACACAGCCCAACTCATTACACACTCCACTGCGTCCCTTCCTTCTAAAGGTTGCTCGGGTACGCGGTTTCCTTTGGCAAATTGCATATCCTGCAAGAATTTGTATCCTTCACATACTCATTTTATTGCTGCAATTACTGTTGGGGTTGAACCCCAATCTTATTCAGAAGCGGTTTATGATGCTAATTGGCGCGATGCTATGAACGTTGAAATTGATGCTCTCGAACGCAACGGAACTTGGTCCATTGAAGATCTTCCTCCCGGGAAGAAACCTGCTGGTTGCAAATGGGTGTTCAAGTTGAAATATAACTCTGATGGTCGTCTTGAGCGATACAAAGCTCGAGTTGTGGTACGGAGTGACACTCAAGTCGAGGGTCTCGACTATAATGAAACATTTGCCCCGGTTGCCAAAATGGGAAGTGTTCGTTTATTTCTCACTGTGGCAGTTATTAAAGGTTGGTAACTACACCAATTCGATGTTAATAATGTCTTTCTTCTTGGCGACTTGGATGAGGAAGTATATATGCTCTTACCTCCACGGTACTATTCTTCTCAACCGAATAAGGTTTGTTGTCACCGAAAGTCATTATATGGTTTGCGTCAATCTCCTCGAAATTGGTTCGCTAAGTTGGCCAATTCACTTCGATGATATGGTTTAATACAGTTGCATGCTGACCATGCTTTGTTTACTTATCGCAAAAATGTTACTTTTTTGGATGTTCTTGTATATGTCGATGACTTGATAGTGGAAGAAAACAATTCTTATGCTTGCACTCTATCAAGAAATACCTAAATGATTGTTTCAGACTGAAAGATTTTGGGGCGTCTTAAATATTTTCTTGGGATCGAGGTTGCCCGTAATTCTTCCGTTCTGTTTCTTTGCCAGCGTAAGTACACACTCGATATTCTTGCCGAGGTTTACCTTGCTGGAGCTAAACCAGCCATAACTCCGATGGAGCAACACCACTCTTTAGCTCGTGCATCTGGTCGTGTTCTTCATGATCCAGGACCTTATCGACGTCTAGTTGGTCGACTAGTTTATTTGACCATTATTAGACCAGATATTTGCTATGCAGTCTACATCTTGACACAATTTTTGCATGAGCCTCGCCAAGAGCACTTGGACGCTGCCTATCGTGTTGTTCGTTATCTCAAAGGTTCCCCCGGTCAAGGTATCCTTTTACGGCCTGATAGTTCTCTCTAATTGTTTGCTTGCTGTCATTCTGATTGGGCTGCATGCCCACTCACGCGTCGCTCACTTACCCTTATTTTATTCAACTTAGGTCTTCCCCGATTTCTTGGAGAACAAAGAAGCAACCTATTGTTGCCCGATCTTCTACAGAAGCTGAATATCGTGCTATGACTGTTACTACGTGCGAACTCGCTTGGATCAAATCCTTTCTTGCACCTCTTCGTGTATTTTCACTCACAACCCATGAAGCTATTTTGTGATAATCAGGCCGCTCTACATATTGCATCCAACCCGGTGTTTCACGAGCGCACCAAACATATCGAGGTTGATTGTCATTACATTCGAAGACAACTACTTGCCGGTTCTTTCTCTACGGCTCATATTCGCACCGATTGTCAACCCCTACGGATTTATTTACAAAAGCTACCGGAAATCAACAATTTCTGTATTTCACAACTTATTGGGCAAGTTGGGTGTTCTAAATCCTTACTCTCCAACTCGATGGGGAGTATTAGCGATAATCACGGAATTGTCATATATTTGCTTTCCTTGTATGTAAATATTGCCTAGGCTCTAGTTGTAGCAATCCCATTATTTTCTCCCGGAATTTATTTTTCTTGATTTTTGGTTAGTACATTGATACACCTAAATGGGTCACATTGGGCCATTAACCATGTGGGCCAAGATATTGGGCCCTGAAGCCCGCTAGATAAAAGATTCGAGCCATTCTCCTAATTGGGTCTTTACGGGCCCACTACGTATAAGGGTATTAGTAAAACACCTAATCATAGTCCTAATCTAGAAAAATACTAGATTAGTATTCTGACTAGGAGTCTACTGTTAATTAAGTATAAATAACACCGCGTACTAAGAGAAAATGTACGTTCTGGTAAATCTCACATGGGCTATTGATCTCGTGCTCTCTACTCTATTCATTGTGCTAGAATCTGACTTGAGTGTCGGAGGGATTTTCGCCGTATCAACCCCCGGTTTAGTTCACGTTCTTTGACTTTTCAAGTTGGATAATCAGGCCTTTCTCTCTACGTGGTCGGATCATCTACTCGCGTGCTGCGTGCAAGAAACATACCCCGTGTTCCCGTTATCATACATAATTGTATACACAGGTCTTTTTAAGGCACATTTTATGAATTAAATAAATCAACATTTTCTACTATTATTATTTCATTAATAGGAAAAAACTATAGTAGAAACATATTACTGGTAAAATATTAGATAACAATATTAAAGTTCCAATAAATTACGTGTAGTAACTGATTACAATATTTACTCAAAAAAAAAAAAAAAAAAAACAGATTACAATATATTTTTCTACAGTAATGGTGTTTTTAAAATTGGCAGATGAATCGTATCCATATAAATCATCACGACGGAAAAAATTATATCCACCTTCCCTGAACTTTTGTCTTTTGGCAAGTACACCCAAATATTTAACATTGAAGCATATACACACATCCATCCATTTTTTCGTTTGTGGTTCGTTAATTTTAGGAGTAGAGTAAGAAAATTGCATATAAATAAATAAACAAAGAAAACATTTACCTTGCAAATTAACACGTTGGCTACAAAAGAGCTTTTTAACTAATTTTTCAATCTTAAATATAATCTTCTCACCTACTGACTTCATTTTTAAATATTTATGCAAAATATTTATATAAATCTTAAGAAATATTACGAGATGGGGACAACGAGCGCACACATGGATCGAAGACCTTCTGATTAATGTTTTTTCTCATAATAAGTTCATAATTGGTAGTACAATAATTTTTTTTCTTGTTATTGTACCACAAAAAAATCGTCATGCTATATATGTAAATGTAATACTGATAGGTTAAAAAAAAATGTAATATTGGTTAACTGGAATATAAAATTTGAAGTGTGTACGTAAAAAAATAATAGACATTAACCAAAAGTAAATTGGATGAAAGGGTTACAATTTACATACTCCAAAAACAACAGATAACAAAATAATAATAATAATAATAATAATAATAATAATAATAATAATAATAATAATAATAATAATAATAATAATAATAATAATTTTATTTATTTAAGATGTGGTTGCTTAAATACAAAAGTAAGAGGAGGTAGATGCAAATAACTATATTATGTTATGTTCAAATATAGGGCAAATGTGTATTTTCCACAAAAAAAACTAAGTTATAGAGGGAGTGTATATGCCAAAAGGTTAAATATTTAGGGTATACTTGTCAAAAGACAAAAGTTCAGGGGAGATGGATGCAAATTACCCTATTAAATTATGATATCACTTGTTGCCCCTATTACAATAATATTCATACTATTTTAGTTTTGTTTGACTATATCAACCAGCACATATTTAGTCAACTGTTTGGGGTGAATGGAGAGAGTAATGTTAATAATGTGAAGCCATCAATAATAAAGGTTGACAAGTTGATCATTTCGGCGCTCATTATGTTGACCATATGGTATTTAACTAAAAAAGTCAACAAAGTTAGTTGGATAATTGCTGTCAATTTCAAAATAAGAAAACACTAATTTTAACGTTGACTATAAGTAGAGATACTAACAAATGAAAATATGCACCAATGCAAAATAATTAAGCCAAAAATCAACTTCCAAGAAAAAGAAGAAGCACTATACGTACCAAGATAGATGGCACAATCATCTGCAATGAATGGTGGAGATGGCATCTATAGTTACCTCAAGAACTCCAATTTGCAGGTTCCTCTACCTTTTAATTCTACATACACACAATCACAATACACTTTTGATACATATATTTAAATTATATTTTGCATTTGGTACCCATATGTGCTGATATTGTTGTATAGAATTGCTAAAAAAACTTCTAATATTGTTAATATTAGTAAGAAAAAAAAACTAAATACTATGTATTTGTTCGAGCGCACGACTCTCTAAATGGTCAGTTTTTAGAAGATGTACTTGTCGGTTGTCAAAAAATTCGAATCATATAAGCATTTTTGCATAAAAAATAACACATAATTTTCTAGTAATGAATTAATTCAATGAACCATCATATTTTATTTAGAGATTTACCAGTACTCCATTCGTTTGATTAAAGTTAATACACGTTAATTAACAAATTTAGTAAAAATAGAGTAATTGATTTTAGGAAAAATATTATTATTCGACAAATTTACTCATTTGTAGATTTTCATTTTCTCTTTGTCAAATTCATAAATATTAGGGTAAAATTTGACAAAAATAGAAAATAAAAAGTCCTCCAACTGAAAATTTAAAGTGACAGATAATATAATATTAAATAAGAGCAACCTGAAACCTATAATATGAAACGAAGGGAGTATTTTCTATGTTAATAACATTAAATTTTACAATTCAAACACTTTTAATCATATATTCATTAGTTTGACTACAACACAAATTAATCAATCTGCAGAGGGATGGGTTGAATGCAGCAAAGAATGTAATAAAGGAGGCCCTACTCGAAAGCCTCGACCTAAAAACACTGCTATTGTCATCACCTAATTCGACCGCGACCACATTCACCATTGCAGACTTAGGTTGCTCCGTTGGACAAAACACTCTCTTCGCCATGAAAATGCTAATCGAAACCGTCGAACACAAGCACCACAACATTTCACAAGAAAACTCCGAAAAAAATCGAATCGAGTTCCAAGTATTCTTCAACGATCAGACGGCCAACGACTTCAACACCCTCTTCGCCTCTCTTCCGCCTCAACACGAGAGGAAATATTTCGCAGCGGGTGTTCCCGGTTCTTTCTACGGCAGATTGTTCCCTTCTTCTTCGATCCACATCGCGTATTGCTCTTCCTCGCTTCACTGGCTATCCGAGTTGCCGGTGGATTTGGTGGACATAAATTCTCCCGCCTACAACAGCGGTAGAATACACTACACGGGTGCCTCCGATGCGGTGGTGGGAGCTTATGCGGATCAGTTCGAAAAGGATATGCAAGTGTTCTTGACGGCGAGGGCGGAAGAAATTGTAGGCGGTGGAATGGTTGTTATTCTGATGCCGGGTGTCCCCGACGGCGGCGTTACTCATGATGTTGGGATTGCACTCACTTTTCTTGGATCCATCCTCATGGATATGGTCGAAGAGGTATGCTATTATGAATTAATGATTTAAAACTGAAAATGCATTTTTCTTGCATTAATTTGACTTTTTTAGTTAATTTATTATGATTTTATTCAAATGGTCAAAGAATGCATCAAGCATGTTCTCATTTTTTTAAAAACTAATTAATATGAGTATGTCACTATGTTTTTCATTCATATTCACGATGTTTGACTAATTCTATACATCCATGTAGCCCTAAAATTAAATCTATATAGGATAAAAAAAGAGAAATAAAAATGGCAACCACACGGAATTATTACTGATAATATACAAAATATTGTAACTTAATATATAAGATCAAATATTTAATGACAAATTTTGATATTCTTCTCATTGGCTGTCACTATTGTCATTTACTCTTGTAGTGAATTAAGGGGATTTTATGCCAAAAAAAAAAAAAAAAAGAATTAAGGGGATGAGTTTTTACCCAAACAAAAGTATTCATTTTTTATTTTATTTTTTCTTTTTTGGACATGATAAATTAATACTTAAAATAAAAATCAGAATTACATTTGACTTTTGAGGGAGTTTTAGTTAATTTTGTTAGGCTATTTTTGCCTAATCTGCAAACAGGGAATATTAATTCAAGACCGAGTTGACTCACTCAACATTCCTCACGTATATCCTTCTGTGAAGCAAATGAAGAGGCTTGTGGAGCAAAATGATAGTTTTGAAATTGTGAAAATGGAATTAAGGAATGCAAGGTCAGACATGGAAGCCCCTATAGACATTGAGAGTGCAGTAATGCACCTGAGGGCATTTACGGAAGAAACTATTGTCAATCAACTAGGAATTGAGATTGTGGATGAACTCTTCAAAAGGGCAGTGAAGCAGAAGAATAAGTTTTATCAAATGCTTCATGCATCTGGGATCGAGATTGGTGCTCAGTTCTTCTCTGTTCTCAAGCGCAAATTCGACTAGTATCGAAATTGTTTTAGCGCTTCACAAAACATTGCATACATAGTGTTATATTGCTAAAATTTTAATTAAATTAATATATTATAGTCTTATCATATTTCAAGCATACAAAAAAATTAATTAATCCAAATTATTGTTATAATGTTTTGCACTTTATATCTAAGAACACGCGGACGTCGTCTTACAATCCAATTTTGGAGAGCCATGAAGAGCCACTCAACCACTACAACCTAATTTTCTCTCCAAATTTTACCTAGACTTAAAATCTTACACTACAAAAGCTTTTAGTGAGGCCATTATACATGCTCTAAGCAACTAATATTTAAATCACATGTCATGGGTACAAAAATAAATTTCTTCCTTCTTGATTTGACCCTCACATCCAACAATCATTTTCTACATTCTTGTTTGTAACTGAACTAATATTAATTAAATTTTCATAATTTTTTTAACATAAAAACAACTATTATATTAGGATTTCAAAACAAGTGTTTTGGTACAGAGAGTAGTTTTACAAACCCGATGGTACATGCTATTACAGTCATTATACAATATGTTATTCAAAAAAGTAGGGCAATTTTCAAAAGTAAGCGTAGTATCGTTGTTTATAGTAGTTCCAAGTTTTGCCAAAAAGTCTACTGCACCATTTGTCTCTCTGTAACCAAAATCAACTTCAACAGCGTTGAATTCAGTCAATCTCCTCCACAGCTTCTGCAGAAGTGAGTGAAGATCCCCGTGCAGCTGTTTCTTCCTGCTAAGAGTAGAGATTAAAAACATGGAATCAGTTTGGGCAAGAAGTTTTTTAATATCCAGCCTTCTGCCGAGGTTAATCCTTTCCACTAGCGCCCAACATTCAGCTTTATTATTAGAGACAATGCCTATATATTTAACAAAAGCGTTAATATATATGCTATTACTATCTCTAATAATGCCCCCGATTCCGGTAGTTTCGGGATTATTTTTGGATGCCCAGTCAATATTAAATTTAAACCAATCCTTTGGAGAGGGTTTCCAAGAAAGGGGGGTTGGAATAGTAACCGATATTTGTGTGTTGGCGTGGAGATAATCTGTTTGGCTAGAGTCCACATATGTATGAGTTGGATTTCTTTTTGGCGGAACACAAAATTATTACGAGCTTTTCAAATGAGCCAATACACATTAGCAATTTGTGCTTGAAACAAAGGACCATGACGGAACCTGTGGAAAAAACCACAAAAGTTTTCCTCCAAATTGAAATGAGGAAAGGAAATCCTTTTCAGAATACTATTTAGAGCAGTACAATTTCGTAATAAATGTGTGCTTGTTTAAGGGTGTAATTTACACAGGGGCCAAGTATTAGTCGGCACACATTTATGTTTCAATAAAAAGTCTTTAGTAGGAATACTATCACGAGAAAGTTGCCAGACAAAGAAATTAATCCGAGGATCAACTTTCAATTTCCATATTGTCGACCAAGGGAGGGCAGGTTCAAGAAACCCGTAATTATTAGAATAGAGCCAATTAAAAGCACTTTTGAACGAGAAGTATCCTTGGGGATCCCAAGCCCAGAATAGGGAGTCTTTTTTGATATATTTCGGTATATGTATACCTTTTATTTTCTGTATAACAAAATTAGGCAAAATATGAGCACTGCTATAAGTTTTCCAAGAGAGGGACTCAAAATCAATAAAATGGAAAACTTTAAGATTTGACAACTACTGATTAATATATAGTTAGTGTATTCAACAATAGTCCAGTTATCCACCCATTTATCGTACCAAAAGTTAATGTCTTTGCCCATTCCAAATGATCAGAAAAAACAGTTTTTTTATTGAAGGAATGATCTTACATATGTTTTGCCAAATATTACTACAGTTGTATTAGGTTTTAGGATGTCGAGGAAATTTTTCTTAGAAAAATATTTATTTTGTAGGCATTTAACCCATAATTCATCAGACCCTTGTAAAATTCTCCAACCAATTTTGAGTAGCGCAGCTTTATTAAGAAGTTTGAGATCTCTAACACCAAGACCCCCATGTTCCTATTTAAGGCACACAGTTTTCCAGTTCCAGTTCACAAGACTTTTCCTGTAACTATTAGGTTTGGCATTCAACACAAAAAATTTGCATATGGTATTAATGCTATTAATAGTGATACTAGGGATTTTGAAAACATTCATAGAATACAAAGGCATAGAATTAACCACATGCTTAATGAGAGTAAGTCTACCTGCATATGAGAGTGTTTTATCATACCACGAATTAATACGAGTTTGAACTTTAGATACGATATCGAAAAAGGTATGTTTAGTAATTCTGTCTATGTTAAGAGGTGATCCCAGATATTTTTCCCCTACTTTACCATTTCCAATATCCAGCTGCTGGCAGATAGATTTCCTCACATTGCTAGTAATGTTTTTACAGAAACAAATCTTGGATTTTAGCCAACAAATCTTTTGGCCAGCCTCAGAAGCAAAAGTGTTTAATAGGTTTTTAGTGAAAGTAATGGATTACTGGTTAGCTTTAATAAAAATGAAGCAATCATTAGCAAAGCATAGAATAGGAATTTCAGGGCCCCCTACTAAGGCTTAGGGCATCAATGTTTCCTTGAGCACTAGCATTAGCAACTTCGTAAACTAAAACATCCAGGCATAGGATAAAAAGATAAGGGGACAAGGGATTTCGCTGCCGTAAACCTCTTTAAAGTTTCCAATATGGTGATTGGTTCCCATTGATAGATAAAGAAAATGATACTGATTGAACACATTCCATAATCAAGTTAATCAAAAAATCAGGAAATTGATACTTCTGCAAAGCAAATCTTATGAAGTTCCATTCGAGCTTATCATACGCCTATTCGATGTCAATTTTAAGGGCCATGCTAGTTTCTGATTGAACACATTCCATAATCAAGTTAATCAAAAAATCAGGAAATTGATACTTCTGCAAAGCAAATCTTATGAACTTCCATTCGAGCTTATCATACGCCTATTCGATGTCACTCTATTAAAAATCATTTAAGGCTGACGTTTTCAACAATATTTCTTAGAAAGAGAAAAAAGGTTTTCTTGTTGGGACATGTCCAACTAATTGTTAAATTAATACGTTAATGTTTATGCTTACTGTTGGCGCCATATTTCGAGAACATAGATTTGATAGATTCGAACTTTTTTTTAAAATACTGACATCGACTCTATTAAATATTTTTAGTAAGAAAATTATTACTCCATATCTTGTAAATTATTTATTGTATAAGACTTTACTTAGTTAGTGGTATTTGTTTTATATACGAAATATTTTAAAAAGATTAATCCTTATTTAATTTATGTTGCAAGATATTGAAGAATTCTACTTCCTTATGATTGTTTTCTTTAGGTTTAAACTAATTTAGGAAGCATATATAGCGCCCATAATTCGATGAAAAACCTTAGAGCTTTTATCCAAAAATACATCTCAACTTGAAGACTTTCTAGAGAGCAGTCTGTGCAGCACACAATTATAGTTGTCAGAGTTACACCAATGAGAGTTTTTTTTGTACCATGCTACAAAGAAAATCAGAAATTAAGCAGAACTGTTTAATTGATCTCGGGAGATGCCGATCCACCACCTAAAGAGAGTTCAGCATTGGAGGGAGCCCTAGAGTGCGGATGAGGGAACTATTGTGGTGAAGACAAGAAGTTCGAGTTATGTGCAAGAACGACGAATAACATAAAGAGGGAGTCTTTAAAGTTTTTACTAGGTCCCATTATTATACACATAAATTTGAATTAGGAAATCTTGTGTGCAAGTACTTGTGCATGTATGATGGATTTTGTATCTAAACCACTTTATATCCTATCATTTTTCTTCTTTGTTAGTTAGATTTTATAACAACACACGAACATAAGTTGTAACATCAAACTTAGCTTGTTAAAGCAATTAAACTGTTACAAATCAGCAGTTACATAATAATATATATCCATTATTTTTTTCTTGTTTACGGTATGAAGGGCTTTTTTTCATCTTGATTGCTTCGCGAGATTAATTTGGATGCGTCGTCAATTATGGATTAATGTTTCTTTTGGTTACATATATCAAATTGATTTGAATTAGACCATGAGACTGAATTAACTTCGTGCTCACTAATTAATTATTTAGTTACTAACATGTGAGTTCCTTAAATTATATCTTGTGTTAAATTCATTAAATTTTGGTATTATATGTGATTTGTCTATGAA